CTCTCTCTCTCTCTCTCTCTCTCTCTCTCTCTCTCTCTCTCTCTCTCCTTTTAAAAAAGAGACATACAAGTGGCCAACAGGTATATGGAAAAATGTTTGACATAACTAATAATCAGGGAAGTGCGAATTAAAACCACAATGAGATATCACCTTACTCCCGTTAGAATGGCTATTCTTCAAAAGATAAGTGCTGGCAAGGATGTGGAAGAAAAAGTAACCCCTATAAACTGTTAGTGGAATGTAAATAAGAAGAGCCATTATGAAAAACAGTATAGCAGATTCTCCAAAATTTAAAATTAGAATTACTATATGGTCCAGCAATACCACTACTGGTTATTTATCCAGAGGAAATGAAAGCTATATTAAGGAATCTCTTGCACTCCCATTATCACTGCAGCACTATTAATAAGAAATGGAAACAACCAAAGTGTCCATTGATGGATGAATGAATAAAGAAAATATGGTACATTTGCATAATGGAATATTATTCAGCTATGAAAAAAGATTAAATCCTGTCATTTGTGACAACGTGGATGCAACTAGAGAATATTATGTTAAGTGATGATAAGTCAGGCACAGAAAAACAAGTGCCATATGAACTCACATGTGGAATCTAATATAGTTGATCTCATAGAAGTTGAAAATAGAATAGTTACCAGAGATTGAAGTTGAAAATATAATACTAGTTACCAGAGATTGGATCAAGTGCAGGGGAGGAACAATGGGGAAAGGTTGGTCAATAGGTTATTAAGTTACAGTTAGAAGGGAGAAATAAGTTCTGGTGTTCTATTGCACAGCAGGGTGACTATAAGTAATGATAATGGCTTTATTTCGAACAATCTAAAAGAAAGGATTTTAAATATTTTTCCACAAAAAAATTGATAAATGTTTGGGCAAACAGATAGGTTTACGCTGATTTGAGTGTTATACAATGTATATATGTATTAAAACATCACATGGTTCCCCATGGATATGTACAAAGTTTACATGTTAACTAAAAATAGATTTAAAATTTTCATGTGAGGGCCTGGGTCAATCTTCAGCTACACACACACACACACACACACACACATACACATAAGGTTTTTAATTAAAAAAATCATTCAAAGTATATTTTATGAAAAATTTACTTTTTTTGCATTTCCAAATGCTGGGATTATAGGTATGCACCACCATGCCCAGTACCATTATTAATTTTAATGATAAGTAAGACAGTGCTTTATAATTGACAGCACTGTTTGCACTTTTCAGTTATGTCCTGGTAAATCAACTCTCCAAAACAATAGGCATCTGATTTGTAGTGTTTGCTTATTTCCCCAGTATAAATACTCCCACCATAGCAGATTTAAGCTAATAGTGGTTTAATATCTTGCTTACAAAGTTTTTAAATATTTGACAATTGGCTCCTATAAACTGGCATATAAGCCAGCTCTATCACCATAATCCTTGTCATACTGACATTCACATTTTGCAAGAGAAGTAAGAAAATTTTATAAGGCAATATATTAAGTGGTGGAGCATGAATTAAAATCCATCTCAAAATTCAGGTTCCCAAATCCCCTTGCCTTATTTAAATAACATGATGGAACTTCTTATGATAATCCTTCACTTTATTAGAGTTCTTAATAAGTTAAAAAATGAGGTTGCCTGTAATCATTGGATATAAACATTTGATCACCTGTGTAAGAAACTCAGAGCATGGAATCATAAATCCTCATTTTTTCACAGAAGGAAACTAAGGCCTGGAGAGAGGTATATGCTAAATAAAGATCATAGAGCCAGCACTGAAAAATCAGATTATTTTTCCTGACCCCACTCTCTTCTGTACCATGCACTGTCTGGAAAACTTTTCTATCCTTTCAAAGTTCACAAACCACTTGAGGAGTTATTAATTACGTTAAAGGGATCATTCCCCTCCCGCCCATGATGAATGAACCATATTCTATTATACAGAACTGTGAGAGAAGGGAGACGATAATGAGGGCAGGAGGAGCTATCACAGGATAAATGAGAGAGGTAGGACTTGAGATGAACCTCTGGAGACCATATGTGATAAAGGGAAGGAAATCAGAGAGGAAGAAGCATTAGCAGAGGCAGGGAAGCAGGAATGACCAGAGCATGTGTGAGAGGGCAGATGATCCAGAAATAATGAAATAGCGACTAAGGTTGAGGAGCAGGGCAGAACAAAAGGAACCCCTGCCTCCACACATGGGCTCTGAGTTTTTGATCCGATGCAGGTGATTCTTCCTATTAAACACATTTAGAGAGATCACTTTAACTGGATGAGGTTAGGTTAAGAGGAATTTAAATTCTAGGGCATGGAGAAATCTAGGTGTTGGGAAGCTGCCTAGGAAAATAAGGTTGGAAGAAAAAGAAAAAAGAAACAAAAGTTGGAAGCCTTTTTACAGCAGGAGAGTTGGCTAACTGACCTCCATTCTCCCTACAGCCTCCTCCCCACTTGTTTCTTGGTGCTCATTTCTAAGCTTTGACATTACAGATCTCCTCGTTTTGTTTTCTTGCTGTCACCAGTCACAACCTTGGGCTGTCTCTTGTCTTTGACCTTTCTGACCTTGCTCTGCCTCATCTCTTCTAAGACTGCTGACTTCATACTATCTGACTGGCCACTGCCTCAGCAGTTATTTCCAGTCTGCTTTGCCACCGGGACTCCTGCCTATCCTAGATAGGTCAGGACATACATTAGGCTATTGGCTTACATCAAATTGGAGAATCCTCAAATGTAGATGTGAATTTCAGTCAAATATCTATTTGTACAATTTATTTTTTAAAATCAAACTACAGGACTTCATATTAATTCCTGGTAAATTTCCATTTTTTTCTGTTTTTGAGTTTCTGCCTGATGACATCATATTGTAAGGAGTACATACACTTTTGTTTCATAATCTCTTCTCATTTCTAGGAGGGTAAGGCATGTGTGTGGGTGTTTGTTAAGCAAAGAGAAACAAATAGCGAGATACCATGACCACTGATGACAGAAACAATAGTAATTCAGAGTGTTATTCTAGGCCTGGGGTGTGGCTCTGTGGTCGATGCTTCCCTATTCAAGAGGCCCAGGGTTTAATCCCCAGCACCACAAAAACAAACAAATAAAAAACCCAGAGCTATTCTAGATGTTTTAAAGCTACTCCCAAACACAAGCACCCAGAACATCCCAGAACATCCCTGCGCCTCTCCACAGAGCAGTAGAGATTGCTACTATTGGGATCCAGCACTCCTCTGGGTGGGCAGAGGTTAGGTCCATCTCAAGGTGTGTGTAAAGATGCGCAGCCAGATAGGCTTTCCTCATGTTATTCATTTCCTCATGATATTCACCAGGAATATCAAGTCCAACGTGAACCAAGAAAGGCAGAAAATTGAGAGGCGCAAGAACAAAGGGAAAGAAAAATCATCACCATGACTATATTCAAATATGATCAGAACTGACTCTACATTTAAGAAGAGTGTAGGAGGATAAAAATATCTAAATTTTACCTGTGTTTGTATGTACACCCACACGCTGCCACTGCTCAGTGAAGGAACTGGCAAGTGGAAGCGGAGGGAATACAGGAGGCCTGAATCG